TAGTTCGTGTAATAGCTACTCTGAATTTTTGGCTGAGTTATGCATTATATCCCCTGTTTGAGATCCTAGTAATCTTGACAGAAAAAAACAACTTTTGAACATAACTTTAAATGAACTAAAATCTGGCCTACGGCTTTCGTAGTCATTCTCACATGTAGTAAGATGGGACACAGAGCCTTATCTCAGGTAAGGCAGGGCTCTTTATAAATCTTAGGTGTTTTAGTTCTAAAGCTGATCTTTATTTCTTAAATATCATTTTACAAAGTTTACATAAATTGTTTGAGGTCACATGAACATTAGCTAACACCATATGATAACACATTTAAAACATGAATTAAAGAAAGGCTGAAAGTTTTTAAACTTTACATAGATTAGGTTCTCATTAACTTAAAAATACATTTAAATTGTTCCCCAATGTGAAAAGTAACATAAAACTTTACATATCTTATTGATAACAGGTAAATAAATCCCCAATATATTTTTTACCATACAACTTCAGAACACCAGCTTGATATAATGCTCTTTTAAAGTTTCTACCTTACAGACTTGTATACCTGGAAGATATGAGCACATTAATAGCATCACAATTACATCGATGTTTCTACATTAACCAAGTTTAGGTTTTAAAGAAATGGCAGTACAGTGCTCTAAAATAACAGTTCTTATTTAATCAGTTGTTTAATTTTTATGGTTGCTTGCTCTAGAAAAAAAAATAAAACTTAATAAACACAATGTTATGGGTAAACTTATGTTTTAAGAAATTTTTGTCCCTTTAACACATGACTGATTTTTACAATCTTATACAGACCTTAGTACAGACTTATACAGACCTTAGTAAATCAATCAAATATCTAACAAAAGTACTCATGAATGAGTAATCCCATATCAAATTTACTTATTTTATCAAAATATTAGACAAGTGTATTGAACAGTGCCAGCCATTTTTTTGTTGTTGTTGAAGGAAAAGTCCTAGAACCAAGGCATATTAGACATTGTATAGACATTAATATTTTATGAGTTTTTTTGAACACCTAAGAAAACTTGTAAGCTTAAATTTAAAGACATTTATTTTTATCTGTTTACCCAATTTAAATTGAACCATTTAAGTCACATGAATTAAAGATCTTTGGATCCACTTTTTAAAATTTGTTTTTATGAGCGCTCCTTATATATGTTAATTTGTATATCATATATATGATATACGGACATATGTATATATAGACATACAACACATAACACAAGTGTGCACACATAACAATAGTAAAGGCCTTAGTAGCTTTTCGCAGGTGAAATCTCCATTGCAATGTTTCAAAAACTCCACAGTTGGTCAAAGATAGAACTGATCAGAAAAATATTAACCTAGGTCTGTAGGATCAAAATCATGAGCTCAAAAAAATACAGAATCTAAGGAAAAAACAAGAGTCCAAGAAAAAATGACTGGCCAGTAATTAGTAAATACCATACAATTTACTTTTTTTTTTTTTTTTTTAGGACTCAGATCAGTCTCCTACTGAGCTTGCAGGCTTCTTTCATTTGCATTTCAACATAAGTCCTGGCTGAGGTCTGAAGGAGCAGGGAAAAACTGCTATTCTGAGCAGACACCTCAGGCCTAAGGCATTTTAACCATAAGTCATAATTTTCAGGCTCAGACGTTGAAAATTATGATATAAGTTTAAGATACAATTCACAAAATTTTATATCTTTACATCTTGATTTGTCAGCAGATACCATACTATGATTTACTATCCTTGTCCAAATTAATGCACTGGTACACACAGTGACATTTTCCCAGGCTACCCAATTCAAAACTGGTGAAAAAAAGACTGAATGATTGGGAAGTTACTTGTCTACTTGGAAGTAGAGTTCTTTAGTTTTCCATCTTAAGTATCTAAGTTCTCTGGCATGAACTATCTGAAATCATAAACTAAACAATTACCTAAACCCAACTTTTAACTGCAAGATTGTGCAATGCTTCAAAACCCATTCAGATACCAGATTGTTACAATAAAACATCATCTTTAACACACACATTCAGCAGAGATCATTCCCAAGAAACAATTTATAATATCAACACACTATTGCACATGTCTTAAAGGGCCAGAAACAAAGACACAGGACAGACAGAAAGGACCTCCAGACTATGGCAGACAGACAGAAAAATTTAAAACAGAGCATATAAGAGAAAAATCTCCTACACCAGTGGCACCATAGATGTCCCCACAAGGGGACCACATGTTTTCACAGAGGGGCAACCTGAAATGTAAAATCAGGGGTCTCCATGGTGACTTTACTGCATTTAGTGTCCCCTTTTTCTTTTTCTCTTTTTTTAAGAAGACAGAGGTGGCATAATCCTTACAGTGCAGGGAAGGAAGGCAGGAATTCCCCGAAGCAACAGGGCTTCGGCACCTGCTGGGAGTCCCTCAGTCCCTCCTTTTACTTACAGGATTAGCTCCTCTGGTTTGGTTCCACCCCAGGCACTCTCCATCTCCTAACATTTTAGTAGTCAGCTCTCAAAAGTTCGGGGGTGGGGGGGTGGTGGTATCAAAATTTGTAACTGAAAGTTTGGTTCCTGACCTTGAAGCCAGTTAATGCCAATTTAATAATGAGGACAGGGTTTTGAGAAAAAGAAAAAGGGGGGTTTATTGCTTTGCTAACAAAGGAGAAACATGGGGGACTCTGCCCAAAGGTTGTGACTCTCTTGATCTGGAGGGACAAGGGGTTTTAAAGGAATCTCACTTGTTAACCTGGGAGATACTCAGTTCTTAGGTCCCCAGCAGGCATTGCCCTCTGCAGGGGTGTGCTCCAGGCAGCCAGCTAGGGGCTTCTCTCATCCTGCTTAACAAAGTGGGGTAAAGTTCATCACAGTTCCTTAAAACACAGTCCAAAGGTGTGTCAGGCTTACTTGCTTTATTACCCATTTTCATGTCCAATATCCTTAAGTTTTTACCACAGAAATCACACAACAAAACGCACAAAAACAAGCAAACAAAAAACATATAGAACACAGAACAAAACACAAGAAAACAGAAACCCGGCACCGAAACAGCAAAACAGAGGAGCAATGCAATGTTTTGCTAAAGCTCAGGGGTAGGAGTGCGTGCGTGCCCGTCGGCACCTCTCTACCCTTCCAGAGGAATTCCCTACAGAACAGAACAGAGGACAGAACCATTTCTCGTTACCGTCCGGACAGGAGTATATGTGAGCCTCACCAGGCCACCTCTCTGTCATCAGAAGAGATCTCCCTTAACCGGATACCAGATGTTATAAAGCCTCCACTTACCTATGGAGGCCTCCTCCACCAGGTGCTTGCTGATAGTTTTAGTGTGGCAGTTCACTGCAGTGCTCCGGGGACCGAGGGCTCACTCCGAGGCCTTGGAACGTCTCAAGGTGCGCACCCCCTAGAGTGGCTCTCCAGCCTGGAGCCCTGGAGTGAAGGCCGGCTTCAGAATTTCCAGCACTCTGGTCTTGTGATCTGGTTGGGCAGGGTCATCTCTCTGGGGCCTCCAAAATGTTAGACCAGGACGCAAGAAAAGACCACTGACTCCAATTAAAATCAAATTAAAGCAAGCTTATTATTTCAACCAGCTGGGCTGCCTCTCCCTCCCAAAACGGCAGGAACAAGACAGCACCCCACCTTTCCTACAGCCCAGCTTTATAGCCCAGCAAGTTACACAAAAGGGGGGTTACAGATAACAGAACTCTGACAAGCATCACACTAATGGTAGTTTACATTTTTTTTTTTTTGCTGGCCCCAACATCAGAATTTATGAGGACCATTAGAGCCTCAGAGAGGGTCGTTGTCTGGCCAGGGAAGGCCAATATTTATGAGGTGTCACTAAGTTTCAGAGAGGGCTGCTATCTGGTCAGAGAGCCAGGCATGGGTGAGTTCAAGGCACGGGCAGGCATTCCAAGCAGGTTCAGAATTTGCAGTAATTTATAGTAAAGCTGAAATTATCTTTTCATGGTTTTGTGCGAGATGCCCAATTTTAAGAAAAGATCAGGTTGGGTCTATCAGGGGGTGCAGCCCACTGGTTGAGACCAGGATGAGGCTGGAGGCCTCTGGCTCCTGGGGTGGAGAGCTGGCTCTGCTTCTGCTGGGGCTGCCGGGCTCTGTGGAATAGCTTCTGGAGGCCAAGGGCACAGAGCTCTATGTGGCTGTGCAGTCACCTCAAACCCCCAAAGCCTCCAGCTGGTGGGCTCCTGCTGTGCCCGGGCTCCAGCTGGTGGGCAGAGATGCTGGGACCTGGGTGTGGACTCTCCAGTGCCTGCCCCTGCTGCCCACAGGGCTGTGAGCTCAAGACGCCCTTGGTTCTCGGGGTTTTTTCTGCTGGGTCTACCACTGTGGTAGGTACCGTAGTAACACAGTAGGAGAGCCCTTCACAAAAAGCCCTGCCGACATTCCCCTCCCAATTCCTGGGCATGGCTTCCAGGAAGTCTATAGATAGCAGTGCCTAGTCAGTGCCCAGTAAGAGGGGGTCAGGCCACTTCCTGGAAAGGCCTGCGGTGACATCCTGCTGGGGGTGGGTGCCTCAGTCTGGCTGGGCACAATTCACGAGCCACTTGTCAAGCAGAAATGACTTTATTTTTAGAACACACAGGCCTCACCACATGAGCTATTCAGGAATTCCCTCAGAGCCCAACTGCCACCACAGACTTCTGGGGAACCTCTCAACCCCCCCCCCCAACTCCTCCTGCTCTTGAGGCCGATTGGCTGGCTCATGTGGGCAGAGCCAAAAGAGTCCCCCAATGAGCAGCTCCATGGTCTGAAAGGGTGGGAAACAGCACAATGAGCATCATCTCAGAGGAGCCAATCAGCTGGCAGCTGGAAGTTTGCAGGGGCCAAGGTGAGCCAATCAGCTGAAAGTTTGCTGGGGCCCCTCAGGCTGTGGCTCTCAACAGGGGCCAAGAGGCAGGCCCCCCTCTAGCTGCAGCCCTGGGACAGGTGTGAAGGTGTGGGGCTGTCCCAAACGGCTGCCTTGATGCAGAGTGTGTCCCACCAGGTCCCCAAGGACTCCACTGGGGGGGTCCTGACGGAGGAAGACAGGATCTCTGGAAGCATCCGTGTCTTGGAGTGTGGAGCTGGCAGCTCGGTTGGGTTCCCCTGGTGAGTGGAGTGTGGTGGATGGTGTGAGGGTGTGGGGTGGGGTGCACATGTGGGCGTAGGGTGAGGGTGGGGTATCTGCTGTTGCCGGCAGGCAGGCCTTGACGAGGGGCTGGGCAGAGCCAGTGCCCGGGGCCACCCCCATCCTGGAGGATGCAGACAGGGGTTCCTGGGCTTGCAGAGGGCATCTTGGAGTGCCCAGCTGTGGCCCCCTGTGTTCACCAATCCCAAGCGGGGAGCCTGCTGGGCAGCCGGCCGGGCACCAGCACTCTGTGACAGTGGTCCACTTCACCTGTTGAATAGAGCCCTTGTTGCTTTGAGGATTAAAAAGGGCAGTTTTTTTCCTCTCTTCTCCCCTCTCCCCTCCCTAAGGAGATGGGGGAACTCTGTTGTCTTTTCTCCCCCTAGGGGATTGTCCTTGGACACCCCCACCTCAGGAAGGAGGTGTCTGCTGAGGACCTAAGAAGTGAACTGCAGCTCACCTCAGGGCACAGCTGGGACCTGGCAGGGCACAGCTGGCCTGTGGCCTTGAATGGCTCCTGAAAGCCCTCGGCTCCCTGAGGGGCAGAACCCCAGCCTCCGGGACTGAGTCCTCTGCGCTTCTCCTTTGCTCCTCCCTTTCCTCTTCCTGAAAACAGTGTCCTCCTTATTAAATCGGCATGAAGTGGCATCCAGGACAAGGACTGAGCTCTCCGTGACAGTCTGGGTGGGTGCAGTGGAGCTCCCGCACCACCTTGGTGGCCTTGGGGGCAGGACCCTGGGGGTGAGGCCTGCTGGGTCTGGGGGAGCTGGGGAGGGGCTTGCTTTGGTGACAGCTGCCACTTGGGGATGGCAGGCTGCACTGCTGCATGACCACTGCCTCCACGGGGTGTGGCCCGTGCAGAACCCTGGCATGGTGCCAGCAGGGAGCGCTGGGCTCTGGCCTCCCATGGGGGTTTTGGTGGACACTGAGATCAGGTAATGTCACAGTGATGCAGCCCCAGCTGCAGTCCCACTGCCAGCCAGCAGCAGAAGGGGACCTGGGACCTCAGAGTGGCCTGGGCAGCCAGTGCCCCATGATGTCCTACTGGGAGCACTGGGAAGACCTGTCCTTGCAGGTGGCCAAAGACCTGCTTAGTGGTGTCCTGGGCTCCACTGCAGGCCAGGGTCTCCCCCTCAAGGAACCACCCTTTGTGCTGCTTCCTGGTGGATAGATTGCCCCCCACATCTGGGTGGGTCCCTCTGGGCCTTTTTCACTCCTTCAGGGAGCAGGCGCCTCTACCCAGGAAAGCCTGAGGTGGGCCAGGTTGGGGGTCACCTCTGTGGTGGCCGACCGAGGACTCTGGATCTGAGACGTGCTCCTGGGGTCTGGAGGTGCGTGTGAAGGCACCACAGATTGGTCTCCAGGACACAGCTCTGGGGTGCTGCCTGGGCTGAGTGGCACTCACTGGCTGTGTTCATGCCCCCGGATTGGGCCCTTCTCTAAAGTCTGTCTGGAATTGGCCACCATTGTGACCAGAGGTCTCGCTGGTTCTTACTCCCAGAGGACCTTCCCCATCCTGGATGCACTGTGCCTTGGTACAAATGCAGTCCCAGTGGAATCTGGACGAGGCACAGGTGAGGTGTAGGTGCAAGGAAGGGCCAGGTCAGGGAGGGCCAGGTGCAGAGGAGGCCCCTGAAAGGAAAGTGACCACAACACTTGGAGCGACCGAGAGATCTGTATTGCACCAGTGAGAAAGAGGAGAAGAGAGAGAGAGAGAGAGAGAGAGAGAGAGAGAGAGAGAGAGAGAGAGACGGAGAGTGGGAGAGTGAGAGAGAGTAAAAGTGAGAAAGAACAAGAGAGTGCAAAAAGCAAGAAAGGGGGGCGTGGCAGGAGGGAATTTTTATAGCCCAAATCTAATGGGGTCTCTGGGTGTGCAAGCTGCCTTGTTGGCGTACAGTGATCAGATCATACAGTAGTTTCTAAGGGTGTCGTCTTCTACCTTCAGGAAGATGGGGCAGGGTCAGATGTGGGTTTCCTACACGGGTGGGGGTCAAGTGTACAGCCTCGAGTGGGGTTGAGTGTTCAGACTTGACGCAAACAGGTGATAAAGGACCAGACAGAGAGGGGTTTGAGTGCCTGGGTTATCCTGCAGCTAACATTCCTTCAGCGTGCCCTGCAGACAACTTAGTTCAGCCTGCTCTGTACCTAACAGCCCAGGTCCATGAGTGGCCCAGGTACAGAGGAGGCCCATGTGCACGGGAGGGGCAGAGCAGGGGAGAGGCAGGAGCAGGGGAGGGGCAGGAGCAGGGGAGGGGCAGACAGGGGGGCAGGAGCAGGTCGGTGGATTGGTTCTTTCTTTCATTAGCTGAAATTCATTGCATTCTAATGATATTAGTCCTTTACTGTTGGATTATTTTTTCTATATTTATTATTTGCTTTAACTTTCAATGGTGTTTTAAATGTTAAGAATCTTACAAAATAAGCGTTGCGCAGTTTCACAATTTGGAGTATGAAGTGAAGCCTGTCCCACTTTGGGTGTCCTTTGGTCCACCCTGGATTCTGGCAGAGCCTCCATTTCCTTCCAGGGGCTGGGGAGATGTCAGTGCTCTTGGCTGAGAAGCAGGTCCCTTGCAGGACCAACCCTCCAAGACTCCAGTGGGCTGGGACCCCAACCAATGAGTGTGTCTTTATTTCTATGATGGTGGCTGGGTGAGGAACATGCTCACCTGTCCAAGCCCAAAGAGTGGACTAGGAGACACGAGGGACAGCAGAAAGCAACACTTTACTTCAATGTCGATCTTGCAAGATCGGATGCCTGGTGGTCAGGGACCCCCAGACTGTGTCCAACCAGAGTTTCATTCCCTGGAGCGCAGGTCCCTTGCTGGGGACATTGAAGTTAAGTTATAGACATTGACGCTATCTGAGTTGCTAAAAGGGGAGGACTCATTATTATGGGCAATTGCCACCTCAACAAGCTAATATGTCTAGGATGCAGGGCAGGACCAAAGGGCACAAGAACAAAGCGAAAGTGATCCCCAAAGATGTAAAGGGGGGTTTTGAGAACTAGGAAGTCCAGTGGTCCATTTTCGGAATACAGTGTCCAGCCTTGACTGTGATGTCACATCCAGTCATTTAAACTACAGCCCCTCCCTTTCCCGCCCCAATTAGAACTAGCCAGTTGTGTAGGTGTAACCCCAGCTCCCCCATCAGAGCAAGGGGCAGAGCGCTCTGGGGACAGAGCAGGCGCACTCTGCCCAGGTGTGAGCCAGGCCGGGAGCGCACCTTCTGCAGAAGCAGAGCCTGCTCTGCCCAGCCACTTCCCAGCCCAGGTGGGATTCCTAGGGACACCAGGTGTTTCTAATAGGAGAACACCCCGAGTCCTGCATCCTGGTGCCACAGGGGAACAGGGAAACCCCATACCTCGGTTCTTGTGTTCCAATGAAAGAAAATTCAAAGTCAGAAACCAAAATCATGCAAGAGGACTGTATCACAAGTGAAGGGGAGGGAAGGCCAAGGGAGCCCGCAGAGCCCCCTCAGGGAGAGGGCGGCTCACCTCTGAGCAGGGAAGACAGAGGGGGTCAAACTCATCGTTTGCCTTGAGGACTGGGGCCCCCTTCTGCAATCTTCCCTAATCGGGAGTCCAACTCCTCCTCCGTCCTGGGCAGTGGAGATTTTGACTCTAGTTGGTCCTCTCTGGAACGGTGGTGGTGGCCATCCTATTCCAGGGGCTTCTCTACAAGTGAACCCATGGTAATGTCACCGGGGTCAGTTGCTGGCCAGAAGTTACCACAGTGGACCAGTGCTACTAGAGGAACCTCCCTTCCCAACAAGTGGGGACTCTCGCCATGAATCCCCGCTTCACAGCAACCCCAGTGGACCCGCGAGAGTCAGGTCCCTGCACCCTTCCTCCCGGTGTGCTGTCCAGTTGGCTCCTTCGCTTCTGCTTGGCCAACATTACCTTTTGTCCACTTTTAAAGAAGTTCATTTGAAGAAGACTCTGAAGTCATTTAAGGGACACCTGGGACCTATTCAAGTGTCTCACTGCTCACTCCAGCTCCATCATCATGCTGTGACCAGCTGCCTGGCCTGGAATGGCACCAGTGTCCAGTGCTGCCCTGGTGGCAAGTGTCCCTCCATGCTTCCTGTTGGCCCACTGTGGGGTCTTTGGAAAGCAGACTTCTCAACTCCTCTTTTCAGGTCACCTCTTGACCTCCAAGAGGCCAGCAGAGCCTCTCGTGGGGACCACTGCTTCTGCAGGTATCATGGGCAGCTTCCTTCTGGGCAGCTTCGACTACTTGCTGTGTCTCCCAGGTTTCTGTGCTGAGCACTGAGGTGGGGCTTTTCTTCTGGGCTGTGACCTAGTGACCCTGCACCTGTCCCCACAGTTTCCCAGACTGCCCCAGGCCATGCCCGGCCTTGTAACCCTAAGGTGGTGCCAGGGTCAGCCTTGGGACCGGGCCCTGGGTCCAGGGAGAGTGACGGCTGTGCTACTGTGTGCTGTGTTGGGAGGGCCAGCAGAGCCCTTCCTGGAGGAATCCCGCTGGACCCCAGCCTCTGGCTAAGGGCCCTTGTCCTCAGTACTCCACGCATTCCCAGCTTCTCACCTCCTGGAGCCATAGGGGAGTTGCATGTTTCTGGAACTGGGTGCCCTTGGAGGACCTTAAGGTGGGTAAATAGAGGGTTGGAAAAGCCAGGTGCCATTGGTGATGACGACCTCACAGAAGTGACAAAGCTGGCCCTGGGAAGGCGCTGTCAGCTCCGTGCAGTCCCTGGGCCTCAGCCAGTACCAGGGCATATGGCCTTGGACCTCAGGCTGAATTCTGTACCTGCTGAGCTCCAGGGTCCCCAGCGGAGCCTCCGTGGCCCCCAAGGGCTGCCCTTGGTGCCCATCCTGATCCCAGGTGTCCAGGTGCTCAGGGCCCAGGGTGCAGAGAATCAGCTGTGACTGCTAGCTTGAAAACGTAATGCTTACTGTCCTTGATGGAGTCTGCCTGCACACGGGATGCTCTGTCAAGGTCTAGATAAGGTGACAGCAAGCAGA